ATAAATAAAAAACAATTATTGTATATATAATGAATTTAAGTATATTTAAAATAATATAAAATTAATAAACATTTAAACAATTAATTAATAAATTAATAAATCGAACTGATAAAATTTGATTTGAATCAATTCGATTTCTTAAGAACATTGGCTTGGATTCGGATTAGATTTTAAAAATTTATAATACTATACAATAATTGAAATAATCAAACCAAATTCAATTAGACCCGTTATCACCCTCAATAAAAATTCTTTTCTCTTTGCACAATGTTTATCATAATTACCTTTTAACTTTTACATATTTTGCTCTGTTGGCAGATTAAAGGTTGGCTGCATTCATCAACTCTATGTGCTTAAACGTCGTGGGCGCTTGTGTATGTTAAATGCACTATAAAACTAAGGTATGTGCCTTTTTAACAATAATTGCTTTTGGGGAGAATTGGTAGTGCTTGAGGTTCTAAAAATTGGTGTTAGAGCTTTAGTCTCTTTTTATTAGTTTAACCATATTGAGTAAAGATCATATAGCTCAATTTAAGTTCCAATATGATGAAAAAATCCTCAAAGCGCTCATGATTGAAATTTTTGAATTTTATGAATGGAAAATGAAAATGAAAATGTTCATCATGTCACAAATTTTTGGAGCTTGGTTAATATAAAAATAAGGCTTGGAACTCTTTCAAATGATGCAAACTATTTGAAGTAAGTGATGGATGATGCCAAGGTCAAGTGCTTACTTTATGAAGCGTTTAACTCTCACAACTTTAATTTGATCTCAAATTGCTCCACTTCAAATGAGATATAAAAAAAGTTGGATGAGCTACATGAAAGATAAATTTTCAATCAACATGCATCATGTCTCATGGCTATTAAAGAATTAGAGGTAATCTTTAACTCTTGTAATTTAAACTCATATTTTTTATGAGTTACAAAATGCTTATAATGAGCTATATGTTGAATGTGAATTAATGAAGAGGAAATATAAGAAAATGACTTCAAAATTGTATGTTGAAAATGATTTTTTGATGACTGCAAAAAATATTTAAAAAAAATAAAAAATAAAAAATAAATTTTGAAACCTCTTAAAGTATAAGTAAATTTTTAGAAAAAAATATTATTTTGAAAAAGAAATTTGATGAATTGATGAATGAAAAATAAAAGTTTTAAAAAAGTTCATTAAGTACTAAAATGATAAAATGTAATTTTTATAATTTTCATGGTCACATTACACATAATTATCCTATAAAGAGAAAATTTATTTAGAATTAAACAAGTATGGGTTTCAAAAGGAACTAGATACTTGGTAACTAACTTTTAAAGACTCAAAGCAATATGAGTACTAAAAATCAAATGAAATATATCGCTTGTAGGTGTGCTAGAGAAATAAGTTACATTATGATTTTGAAGATTGAATACTTTAGACACACAATAAAGATGTGTAACTTCTAAACTTTTATTTTATGTGAATATGAAATTGATTACCTATTTTTGTTGAACATTGAATGCTTAATTGATATTGGTATATGCTTTATTGATATATCTTGAATACACCAATTTTATTTGATATATGTGAGTTTGAATTGAGTAGGCATTTTTTTTCTTTTGAATATATGATTTTAATATATTCTCATGTTTGTTGATATTGTGTTTAATATTTATTTGCCTGAAATATAAGTACCAAAATATAAAACTTAAGAACATGTACTAAATAAATTTTTTTAAAAATTTTGATCAAGTTTATTTAGCTTAATGTTTTGTCATTTCAAAATAAGGATCAATTTAAAGCTAACACAAATTTTTGTAATGCTTATTTGTAAGTACTAGTATGATACTCGTGCTTTGCTATGGGTTTTTATTTAGCATAATTAAAATTTTAAAATATATAAAATTTTTTATTTAATTGGAAAAACAATATACTTAAGATATTTGAGAGTAAACATGCTAAAGACATTGCTTTTCATACCTCTAGTTTCAAGTCTTTGTGAATATTATGGTGAGACTGCAAAACTTTTAAACTAGCTCCTGCATTAAGGAAACAAATTACACCATTCAAAATATAATCCTAAATGAAGAAGCCTTGCTTTCTGCTTATCACCTAGATAAAAAAAAAGTAGTTATCAAGTTGCTACATGAATTTCTTTAGTAATTGCTTTTAAACTATTCCATAATGCCGAATATAAGATGCTAGATTTCTTTCAACACAGAACTCAAAGACCAGGAATAAACAACTTTCATATTGAAAATCAAATAAAACCAACTACATCTTTTGTAGAAATCAGAGTAGCAAAACAAATATGAAATAAACAACAAATTCTAAATCAACAGCATTTGGTACTTGACTTTAACATTTAAGCTTTAAAAGATAGGAGAAAATAGCAGCATGTTTTTTAGTTTCATCTAAATGCAAATTATCATTAATATTTGAGAATTAAAATGATTGAATATTAAATTCTCCACTCCCCAGTAATTGCTACAAATGTAAAGGAACAAACGCAAGCATGAAATTAAATAACCAAACTTGCAAGTTAATACAAAGAAATTCAATTTGTTAATCCATCAAACAATTTAATTCAAGAAATGTATCAAATGGGTATTCTAGAAAACACTTGAAAATCATAACCAACCCAATTGTTACAATCCAAAAAAAAAAAGAAAAGAAAACCAAAAATACCAACAAACTTGTAAAACATGAAAAAGACGGATAATGTTACGGTGATTGACAGAAAAGAAAAAGTTAAGCTTGCAATCCAAATAATTGGTGAGTATTTGTTCATAAGTTATCGAATGCAGATTTCCAAGAAGAAATGAATCAACAATACCAAGTCTCAATTACAGTTACTTATCTAGATTTTCAAGTTATTGAATGCATTTTCAATAACATAGAAGAAATGTATCAACAAATTTTCAAAAAGTCTAAGAATGTAAAAATAAACACAAAAGCTTTACTTACTTAAATGTAATTCATAAGTGAAACAATTTTCTGTAGCATAAGGCATACAACAATCTAAAATTACCAAAGCAAATGAAACTTACCAAATGATAATAACTAAACCAGTAGTTAAGGAAAACATGATATGAAACATCACAGAAACTAATCAGAACATGAACAAATGCACCTTAGTAAAATTTAAACAAAATTAAATCATTTTGGACAAATAACTGAAATAAAAAAATAAAAGATTAATCAAAAGAAAGCATTTGTGCCAATATTAGAATTGTAATTTTAAATAGCCATTTACTTTTCCAATACCCGTTATCTAGATCTCTCTCTTTCATCAGATTCATTTCTACAATAACATTAATACTAATTGAAACACAGCTTTGTTAAAATGGGTTATCTCATGTTTAATAAATTTTCATTATCCTGTAGCTTTATATTTAGGTTGGACCCCTCTACTTACTGTCAATTGATTTGAAGTTGGATGCTTAACATGGTATCAGAGCCAGAGTTTTCTTTCCATTACCTTTTCTTAATTTGTCACATGAAAGGCTTTTTCCATCTTCACTTACGAGTAATGGGGGCCTATTAAAGTGGGTTATCTCACATCTAATAAATTTTCATTATCTTATAGCTTTATATTTAAGTTGAACCTCTCAATTTACTGTCAATTGATTTTAAATTGGATGTTTAACAAGTCAACTCAGAATCTACAAAAGAGCATTTAAGTTTATTAAGCTTTCTTCAGCTCAAAAGTACATTTATATAAAAAAGATGGACAAAAATAAGAAAACTTAAAGAAAAAAAGAATTCTAGCCTTACATTTTTCCTATTTTTTTTCTGTTGTTATAAGATAGAGTTAAAATGAAATAATCAATGAAAAACTATATAACCAAACAAAGGTTCAAGGGATTAAAAATCCAAAATAAATAGCAGATCTAGACAACCATCACTAACGAAGTTATTTACCAAACGTAGTAAAATATTCAACTCAAAGCCTTCAGTCTTTATTATTATAAACTAAAATTTCCTCCAAAACCTTCAACAAAGCAACAAATTCAACTTTCAATTTAGTAAATGTTAAAAGGAACATAAAGCAAGAGTTTTAATGTAACATAATGGACATGTCGACCTTCAGTACTTTTATCTTATTCACAAGAATGACAATGTGTCTACCACCGACAACCAATAACATCACAAAGAGTAAAAAAAATGACAAAGAGAATGATCTAAAATTTTGAATCAAAGAAGAACGATCTAAGATATATATTGATTAACTCAAAATTAAAGCACATCTTTATAAAAATAATAAAAACTCATTTTTATCCAAAACAACATGCACAAACAAAATCTTATAAAAAACACATTCACAACATGCAAAACTTCTAACCAAAAAACCTAAAACCCATTCAACAATGAAATGAAAACAGTGACAATGAAACCTAAAAGAAAACATAAACCCACATTCAATGATCGAATAAAAGAGGAAAAAAAGTACCTAAAAATAGCTAACAAGAACAAAAAACCAAAGAAAAAAAAGCAAAAATTGAGAGGAAAAACTAAAGGTATCTTAGACGCTAAAACAAGCCTATTACAAACACAAACACAAACACATGCAACAAAAAGAAGTTTCGAGAAAAAGAATAGAAACATTTGTCAAAAATAGAAAAAACAAAAACTAATAAGTGTCCAAAAAATTATGACTCTTCACAAAAGTCAAAGATACAACAACCAAAAAAAAAAACAGATGGCAACTTAAAAATCCCTCAAGGATTCTTTTCATATAAGGTACATAGATTATAAATAAGAATACTAACCTAATTACTAATTAAAACAAATTAATTGATTAACTCGTACCTAGCAGGGGTAACACACTAGCTTATGTAAAGAGAAAACCAACACTCTTTTATATTGGTTCATTTGGTTTAGGGCCATAAGGTCAGGTTCAACGCCAATACTTAGGACCACATAGTCGGGACTCAGGATCAAGTCAAATGGGGCTTAGGCCCATTGAGTTTTAAGTATTTAAATTACCAAATTATCCACAAAGCTCTTCGTATTTTACGAAAATAGCCTTTCAGGAATCCCGCTGACGCTGATCAGAACGGCTGAAACCTGAAGCTGTTACCCCAACTGTGATAGCGACTAAAACAGTCAGACAATCATTTCCTCTCTTTCCCAAAATGAAAACTTTCGTCACTTCTCCCGAAAAAAATGCTTTCAAATCCACGGAAACTTCAATGTTCTCCCGCCATGGCTTCTTTATCGGCTGAATCCTTGAGTTATGGCGGGTGGTTCGATTTTGAACCCGTTAGTTGGTGTGCTAAGTTGGTGAGTCAATTCAGTTGCATAATTTCCTCGTTTCTATCGGAATTGATTATAGAAACGTTTTTATTGGGGCTTGTTTGTGCCTTGGCGATTTCTAGGGTTAGAGTCTCTACAATTATCGTATTTTCAGCTTCTATTTTGGTTTCTGGTATTGGCTTTTCGTTTGGGTTTGTTTAAGGCGGGAGTTTCAATGAGCTAAGTTCAAATAAGAGAAGGTCAAAGCGGAAATTTTTAAGAGTTTACAGTGAGAAATTGAGGAATTTAGTGGATTTTTTTATGGGTTTGATGTTAAAGTTAATAATTTGAAGAATAATATACGAAGAACTATTGATTCTAACAGAATTATTGTAGCTGATGTGGAGAATTCTGCTAGTTTAGTGGAATCGATGAGTTAATGTTCATGACGCTTCTATGGATGACGTGGGGAACTCTTATAGAGAGAACCAGAAACCATCAGGTAGAAAAAAGGAAGCTGGTGAAGTTGGGTTTGAGTTACAGTTTCTTGGGAGTTTGTTTGGTGAAATATCGGTGGCTTCAAAGCCTAATAAAGTGAGAGATGATGTTAAGTCAGGTACTGTGCATATGATTTAAATAATCAAATTCGAGATGTTCGATTGCCTCTTGTTGAAGATAGGGTTTTTAGTTCACCTAATAACAGCAAACGAGTTTCAAATTAAGGTTTTGCTCAAGATTTTTTGAATGTCTGATTTGAATCAAGATAGAGATAGGAGAATAGATATTGATTTAGAGAATGGGAAAATAAGGTTTGATTTTCTGGGTGAAAGTGCTAAGAGATTTGTTGATAGCGAAGAGTTTAATTACGGAGGTAACAGATTGCAGTTTGTGAATACTTATGACATCTCTTTCAACAGAAGTCCTGTGAATGAGAGTAAAAGATAGAAATCCGATGATAATCTGCTTGGTTCTGTGGATTTCAGTGTCAGATTGAAACATATGAAAACTGCAGCTTTATTTGCACATGAGCTGCTGCTTCAGGAATCTAGTAGATCTTACTGGTCTTCCTAAAGCCCCGTGAAGACTGAAAATGAGGCATAGGGAAAGAGGGAGTGTTATATGAAGATGATTCCTCCTAGCTGATCACCTATTTGCACATGAGAATGAGGTCAGTTCATCATCATCATCATCATCATCATCATCAAAGTTTGCCAATGATTCATTCTTCCATAAGTATCTTACGGAAGCTAGTGTTCTTCTTAAAGAAACCAAAGAGTGTATGAGGGGTAGACATGATGAAGAGTATGTAAAAGTCATCTTGAATAGGTCTGCCACGTTACTCTCACAGGCCATAACAATGAAGCCCATGAGCCTGTTGGCTGTGGGCCATTTAGGCAACACTTATCTTCTTCACGGAGAATTGAAACTACATGTCAGTTGTGAGCTGAGAACTCTTCTTGCTATAAATAATCCAATAATTGGTGAGAGGCCACAAGGAAGAGTAGTTAATGGACTAGGTGATCAATTTTCCAGTAGGGCTAAAATTTTATCGCTCTTAGTTAGTGCTTGTGAAGAGTTTGAAGAGCTCCTTGCGAGGAGTGGCCAAAAATATCGGCTGGCATTATCAATTGATGGAGATGATGTGAGATCCCTACATAATTGGGGCCTTGCTCTGTCTTTTCGTGCACAATTGATTGCAGACATTGGACCAGTAAGCATTTACTTCAGCTGAAATTTAATTTGTTGTCTGTTATATAAAGCTTCTTAGTCAAAAGGGAAACAATTTGATCAACTTTATAATGGGTGACCTTCATCAGGCTTAATTAAGTTACACTTAAATATTGTGGGGGATGTGGGAGGAAGGGGTTTTGGTGGGGATTGAAATTGTTTATTGCAAAGTTTTTTAATGTTGGATTACTTCTTTCCAATTTCAGGAAGCAGCTTTTGATGCTGACAAACCATTCTTGGCTGCAATTAAAATTTGATGCCATGATGACTAGAAGCAATGTTCATGCACCTGATGATATGTCAATGTCTAAGTTGTTTTGTTTCAGTCGAGAAGTGTGATGTCACATTGTCGATACGATAACTGAGTTAAACTCTATAGACCATTGACAAATGATTTATGGCCTCCAACAATTTAACTGAAACGTAACCACAAAATAGATTGTGCTCTGCAATGTGCTAATTAAAGTGAAGCTTTATTAAGAAAACCATTTATGTCTTATCTGTAGCTCCAAATTGTATTGAAATGTAGAAGTCTCTAAATCTTAGCACTTTGCTGTGTCTACATGATTATGTGTTCTGTAATTTTTTAGGAATACCAGAATAGAGCATTCCTATTTGCTGGATGACAAGTATAGTTTCCTATTTGGTGGATGACAAGTATACTTTAACATATGCTGAATGTGTTGGGAATATTGACTCAAATCCCATAAGAGATTTGTTTGAGATTTGTTAGAGATTTGTTTGGGATTTATCAAATATTGCTTGATGGACAAGAAGACTTGCAAAAGAACAATTCCAAGAGAAAGAAGATTCTTAATAGGTAAGTTTGACTTGTAAGAGAAGAATTCTAAAAGGAAAGGGATTCTTAATAGGTAAGTTTGACTTACAGGAGAAGAATTCTAAGAGGAGATGGATTTTTAATGGGCAAGTTTGTATGGTTATAAATAGGTGAAGTCTCTACAGGGTTAGGTATGAGAAAAAGATGTAAGAGAGTTGTAGGGTTTTGTGGGATAGACACCCCATAGGAGTATTGGGGCTTTAAGAGGAGAGGGATTCTTAATGGGCAAGTTTGCATGGTTATAAATAGGTGAAGTCTCTACAGGGTTAGTTATGAGAAAAAGATGTAAGAGAGTTGTAGGGTTTTATGGGATAGACACCCCATAGGAGTATTGGGGCTTTACGTCTTATGGGTGTGTATGTTTGTTTGTGAGTGGACTAGAGGAGATTGAGAGTCTCTTATGAGTATTGATTATTGAGTGAGGTTGATGATTTGATATATGTTTGTAATTCTCTACAACTAGTGGATCTTGTTTTTCATCCGTGGATGTAGGTCAGTTGGACCGAACCACGTTAAATTGTTGTCTCTTTGTGTGTTTGATTTAATATTTGATTTTCCTTCCGCTGGTGTGATTGGATTGAAGGCTTTTAGCCCAACAAGTGGTATCAGAGCTGTGGTGTTCCCCAACAAGTGGTATTAGAGCTGAAAGTTTAAAACGTAAGAAGAGTTGAAGATTCAAGATGTGGAAAGAGCCGAAGGTTCGAGACGTGGAAGAGTTGACAGTTCGAGATATGGGAAGAGTTTGGTTTGAGATATGAGAAGAAGTAAGCTTAGAGGAGCTCGATTCAAGAGAAGAGTTCGAGTTCAAGTTTTGAAGATTGGTTTGTATGAAGCGCAAAGATACAAAAGAAGAGAAGATGATTGTGAGACTTTCATTGCAGGTGGAGCCAAGCATTTCTAGCATGAAGATAGATGATTGATGGAATTTGAGTCAAGGTGGAGATTGTTGGGAATATTGACTCAAATCCCATAAGAGATTTGTTTGAGATTTGTTAGAGATTTGTTTGAGATTTATCAAATATTGCTTGATGGACAAGAAGACTTGCAAAAGAAGAATTCCAAGAGAAAGAGGATTCTTAATAGGTAAGTTTGACTTGTAAGAGAAGAATTCTAAAAGGAAAGGGATTCTTAATAGGCAAGTTTGACTTACAGGAGAAGAATTCTAAGAGGAGAGGGATTTTTAATGGGTAAGTTTGCATGGTTATAAATAGGTGAAGTCTCTACAGGGTTAGGTATGAGAAAAAGATGTAAGAGAGTTGTAGGGTTTTGTGGGATAGACACCCCATAGGAGTATTGGGGCTTTAAGAGGAGAGGGATTCTTAATGGGCAAGTTTGCATGGTTATAAATAGGTGAAGTCTCTACAGGGTTAGGTATGAGAAAAAGATGTAAGGGAGTTGTAGGGTTTTGTGGGATAGACACCCCATAGGAGTATTGGGGCTTTACGTCTTATGGGTGTGTATGTTTGTTTGTGAGTGGACTAGAGGAGATTGAGAGTCTCTTATGAGTATTGATTATTGAGTGAGGTTGATGATTTGATGTATGTTTGTAATTCTCTACAACTGAATAGTGAAATAGGGAATATCCCTTACTCCTTCTTTTGTTTGAATTACTGCCCTCTTTAGATGGGGAGCCATATTGCAGCAAAGATCTTGCTTAAGGCCTGGTAATAGTAAAGGGAAGGTGAAGTTGCTACAGCAGTCGAAGAGGTTATACGAAGATGCACTCCATATGGACTCCAAAAATCTGCAAGAGATGCCTTATCATCATGTATATCTGAGCTCAACCATAGGTTATTTTACTCATTATGATAGCAGTTATGAAAGCTTCAACGATTCATTTCTAAACTTTCTCTGCTCGCTCTCATTTTTTGTGTGTTCTTTTTCCTTTCTCGTACAAAATACAATGCGCATGGCTTCTTGTCATCATTGTGTAAGATAAACAATGATATAGGTAATAAGAAAAAAAATTGGAAACACATCCTCTGATAACTTTCTTTCATGCTTTGAAATTAGCTTACAGCAGTGAAGCACTAAGCATCAGAATGGTGTCTAGGTTTATATACAAATGCGATTCGCTGTTAAATTCTGGTGACTGTAGGAATGCCTTAAAGGATCCCTTGCTCCAAATATTTGGACCTCCTTGGATGATATTTTTTGAAATTGTTTCTCAAGTTTGATATATCTTTATTAGGTCGATTACTTTCAGATTGATTTTCTTTTATGCAAATGGATCTGCCTGATTTAATACATCTGAATCATAATCACCAAATATAGGTTTAATAATGGATTCCTTAGTATTTTTGCTGTTATCTTCTGGATTCTTGAATACTACCCTAAGGTGTAGTCCTCAAAACGTTCCCGGAAAACTTTCATCATTCCAGCAAAGGTAACAATCCCAGCTAAAGTTCCATCCTCTTGGACAACCCACACATAACTTACACGGTGTGCAAGTGCCTGAATCATCACTGCCACTAACGAGCTCCATGGGTAACACACAATCGCCTCTGATCTCCTCACCACCCTAGCTGAATACCCTCCTGACCTCCCAATACTCCTCCATACCCCAAACTCCTCATCGGACGAAGACGAATAAGATGATGAAAATGAAGCTCCTGATGAAATCCGTGAATCTTCTTCCATCAATTCCAAAGCTTGGGCTAAATTCCTCGCTTGCAACCTCTCTTTCACCAACTGAATCAAATCCTCCGGTGCTCCACCACAGTCTATATAAGCCATCAAATCACCAGCTGAAAGGGTGGCAATGGCAGCTGCTACATCCTCATCACAAGAATTCAACGTGAAAGGGGAAATTTCTCCAATCAACTTACCGTCTGCGTCGACAATTGCAACAGAAGTTTGCATCTCAAGGGATTGAGCAATGAAGGGTAAGGCCAAGGAAGCCGGGTCATCATAATGAACGGCCATGATGTTCCGGGCATCGATGATGTTAAGGGAGTTGATTGGATTAATAGGAGTGGGGCAAAACAAACCAATAGAATTGAGGAGGTAACGAATTATATCTTCTTGAGTTAGCCAACAATATTGCTGGTTGTTATGAAGGGTTGAATTGGACGGGCTTTTTTGGAGAAGCTTTTTTCTTGAATTCATGGTGCCGATTTCTAATGGTATAACAAGATTTTGTGCTCCTTCCAGAATCAGATCTATGGCTTCCACCAAGCTGAAAAATCATACAATAAACCAATTAGATTCACAGGAAAAAAAAAAAACCTTTGTAATCAAATTTAACGGAATGGTGTGCTTTTACCATATCTTAAGAAACTGAAAAAATAGATTGAATGATTCAAACAAATACTGAAACAGGGAAAATGAAAGCGCGTTATGTAAGAAGAAAAAAAAAAACCTACCTTGCGTTAGGTTCTAAATGTCGGACAAAGCCAGGAGCCTTAGGAATTAAGATAGAAACCGAAGCCTGAAGAGCAGTTCCAGGATTCGACAGGTTTTCTTCCTTACATAAGAAACAAATGATGTCCACCATGCAAACTTTGCCTACACAACGACACTCATCAAAACCGGCGTCAATCTTGTCGGCTTCCGACGAATGACGATGATCACAGTTCCACACACTGATATAGTTGTCAGCGAATCTCTTCAAAGCGGACAACGCGTCGGCAACCGTGGAGGAGATAGAGAGGGACCTCAGCGCAGGCTTCCCAAGGCATAGGTCGGATACCTCACGCGCCAATAAACTCACTGCCATGCACGACCCGAGAGAAATTAGAAACGAGGAAGCCTTTTTTTTTCTTCTTTTAAATGTTAATGGATGTTTCTACAGAAGAATGTTGATTTTAACAAGATGAAAGAAGTGAGATTTTCTGTGGGATTGTATGATCATTTATAGGAAGTTGGTTACCGGGAATAACCGGTCAGCCAGGTAATAATTTTTGAAACGTGTCTAGGTTTGAATCTACGCGTTTACAGCTACAAATAGTTGTTTGATTAAGAAGTCCGGATGTTCTGATTCGGTTAATTTTAAATTAATTAAATTAATTTTTTTAATTTTAAAAAATTAATTTTATTAGTTTGATTAATTTTTTATTTATTAAATAATTAAATTAAATTTTAAATTTTTTATATTTAAAATAAGTTAAATAAAATCATCTATAAAAATATTTAATTATTAAATTATTAAATTAAAAACTTTAATAACTTAAAATAAAATAATCAATTTCTTATATTTTTAGTTATATATATAACTTATAATATTTTTATTAAAATTTTGATTAATTTGATTAATTTAATTTTTGTATCGAATTTTTTAAAAAATTAAGTTTTTTAAAAATTATTTTTATAATTAATTAAAATTAATTAAATAATTAATCGATTAATTGAATTAAATTAAATTAATTTTTTAATTTGATTAAAATCAAATTTTAAACGTACTATTTTTTTAATCTATGGGATTAATGGTGAAGATAAAATGATATTAATGTCGTTCAAACATAAATAAATGATTTTGAAGAATTGAAGTTGACCCCAGGCGGATCGTATTTTACCAGCAAGGATGCAAGACTTTGATGTCTTACTTGGCTTCTCCAAACACCATAGAATTCATCTCAGCCACATCTTCAATTCATTACATCCATGCTCAGCTTACCGTTATAAATAAGTTTGGAACCATTCATTAATTACCATTGACGTTATAAGTTTGAATTACATGCACAATCATATGATTTCCAAATTTGTGATGTTAATTCAAACTTCGTAAAATTAGATTGGGTTTTGTAATTGCGAGTGAAAATGGTAAAAACTGTGATTAAATTAAGAGCAAACTCCCCCAAGTTGGAACTTTTTTTTTTATAATATATAAAGTATTGGACATTACATTTATGATTAAATTCGTGGATGAAAAATAGCATTAGAGAAGGTAAGAAACAATAGCACAAAAGGATGCATGATTATTGTTGATATTCTTAATTATAATGAAGACGTACATACGAAGGTAAAAACATGAAAAAAGGAAATCAAATAGTAATTTCGATGAAGAAGAGAGGTTAAGTATTATTTTTAGTAGAATCGAGTAATGTTTTACAGTGGAGTAAAATTTTCTTTTTTAGATTGTCATTGGTTACTTCTTGATTGTATAGATAATATATGAAAAATAATAGTTAGAGAGATTAAAAATTATAATTAATTACAATTGATTTTAAGTTTGTTTTTCAAATAAATGATTGATTGCTCTTTTGATTATAAAAATCTTACAGAAAATAGAAAGTACTTTCGAACAGTTTGTTGCTGTAATTAGTCAAAATCAAAACCAGAATTCTGCAATAATAATTCCAAACTAGTTTAAGTTTAAGCCAAACTGGCGCAGCCAAGTAAACAGGCAGACCGGTTGTATCCATTACTCAAGTCTCTAGGTCCAGAAATTATATAAACGTTGGATGTTTCAACAACACGGAATCGTAGCAAAGATATGTGAACACGATTCACATAGTCGTAAGCTTCAATATACGGACTGTCCTGTCTGCTGATGGAGATATTTTTAAGCTATATATACGATTCTGCTGTACTGCAAAACTTTCTTGCAGCCACAAATTCTTTTGCTTTTCCAAAACAGTGGGGAACTACTGATCAAAAAGTGTTCGAATACCGTGTTTGTAGGCTTCTGAAAATTATCCAGAAAACAATTTTAATCTTTAGATCTAATTAATGATTGTGGGCAAATTTTTTTATTAATGATCTTTTGTTTGATTTATTCATTTTTTTTTCATTTATGATATTTTGTCAATTACATTTGGTTTTGCTTACAGCTCATGTGTATGTGCCTGGGCCAGTGGGATTTTCTGGAGAAATTGAGATCCTCATCAATGCTTTAAAAGCTCAGTGAAATGTAGTCACAGCCACAACTGAGGCTTTTAGGCCTTTCTGGGCTACCAGTGGCCAATGACTCTTGTTCTATATTGCATTGGACCAAATCGAAGCTCTATCTTCCATGGCTGAGCTTTCATCTCAGTGGCAAATGCAGAAAAAACAATATCAAAACTGCTCTATAGAATTCTTTTGAATGATCTGGTCCCATGCATGCAGTCATTCATTTCTTTTTCTCCAACAACTAACCTTAATTCAAAACCAGGGTTTTTTCCCTTACGAGTCACAGGTTCAACCTGGGAAGGTTTGCTTCTTGCAACGTTCCAAGTTCCTCCCAATCGATAGAAAAAAAAAAAAAAAAGACAGAAAAACTTAGCTAGATCAGGTCATGTATCAACATTTGTCATCTCTACATTGACATATGGAAATTAAATTTATTTTCAAATTTACTTACACCTAAAAGTCTTTTGATGTGATATATATATATGGAATAATAATAATAATAGATGGAAAAAGTGCCATCAGAAATAAATTCAAAAGAAAGAAAGAAAGAAAAGAAACCATATCCTGGTCAGTTTCTCAAACCTTAATCACATCAATTCATCAGCAACCGATCAACATGGTCTTAGTTAATTAAATTTAGTGAGGATAAATAATATAGTTTTTTAATTTTCCTTTTAAAAGAAAGCCAACTTGTTTTTTTTTTTTTTTAATTTTGAAAATCAAGAAAGCCAATTTGTTAAGAAGTCTATTTGTAAATATTTATATATTTCAGAATGTGTTTTTTTTACTGAGTTTTATCGTTATCTATATGAGGTGTAATTGTAGATTATTTTACTTGATTTTCCTAGTAAAATTTAAGGCCACTAATCATAAAGGACAGAGATCTAGTTGTGTAATACTTTAAAATTTACATACTTTAAATTAAAAAAAAAAAAGGTAAAAGCACATTATTCTTTCAAATATTTGGGTAAACATTCATTCATATCGGTCCAAAAAAAAATCATTTACTTGAAGATTGAAAAAGACTAGACATTACCCACTGAAAATGGCCTAATTTTGATTATATATGACAACAACATTCTCTAATGTAATTTTTTGCCTATCGAGGAGAGTTGCGCCACTTGAGCAAAACAGCCAACGTCCAGATTTTCATAAAGATATGACATTCACCAATCTTTACTGTATTGACGTGTTCATTGCATTTATCAATAAAATTCCAGTATCTTTCTTGTACTGAAATTTCTTCAAGTTATTTAGCGAAATTATTACAAAAATAAAAGCGTGGGTTTTTTTTTTTTTAAAGATATCAATGAATAAAACCAATTGATATTTTAAGGAATTTTCTTGTTTTGTCCCTTTTTTTTTATGTTATAATGACAAAACATGTTAGACATTAAAACTAGCTAGAATAGATATTAAAAGCAAATTACTATTTAAGTTCGAACTTAAAACCTAATCATATTTAAGATTTATAAGTTTTTTAATTTTAAATCGAGTTTTAGATATATTAAATGAAATTAAGTTAATTTTTTTTAAATATATAACAATTGTATTAATATAGATTTTATTTGAGAACGTGATGATAGTTTTTTATTGCAAAAAATATTCAATCTTAAAACGCAAAATTCAAATAAATCATTAGGGTTGAATTTAGATAATGAATCAGTATTGATTTTTTTTTTTTTTTTGGAAAAAAAAAATTCAAGAATCACGAGTCACTTGTGGAAAACGGATGCAAGGAAGCAACCCGTTCCGGTGCTGCGTCGGCGCTGACGTTTACTGAATTCAACCGAACGTGATCTCTGAAAATCCTAGGTGGCTGTTAACAAGACAAAAACAAAGAGAAATGAGGCGGTGCACGGAGTGCCCATGCTACCTGTCAGGTTAAGGACACGTGTGGATGATAACCAGTTATCACTTCCCGTTTTAGGACGCGTTTGGTTTACTAGATCAAAAAGATCCAAAGCCAAAGGGTGGAAAACTGTTTAAAAGGTGAAGACAAACGAGTTGTTGTCCCATGTTGGTTGTTCGTCCCACCCGTACACACGTAACTGAAGCACTGTACTTAATCAGTACGAACGTTAAGACAGTGTGGCACGTATCCATTCCGACATTTGTCGACTCAAGTAGCTGATGATATTGGCTTTATTTTTCGAGTGAAGGAAATGGTCTAATACTGGGTACTCTTATCGCCATCAATCAATGTTTAAATGTTCAATCCTTACCCAAATGATTCAATAAAAATGGAAGAAGAAAAGGACAGGTTAGCAACAAAGACCCGTTACTTTCTCATATTCTTATCTCGACTTTCAGGAAATGTTGAGTTTAGGGTACTAAGAACAAAACTTACAAAAGTGATCAAAGAACACTACAATTAAGTCATAATTTGAAAGGAATGCTGGCCTACTCAAAACCCAAAGCAGCAATGGATAGAGGCTAGTAATCCATGAATCCTTGGACCTTGTCATGTAGGAGGGTTGAGCCTAATTTTGCAGCACTTGCAAACAAAGCCTTTCGGGCTAAACTTCCAAAGGGTTGTTGAGAAGTGGGCTCAGATTTTAGACATGGGTCTTGGTTTATTTGGATAAATGGATCAAATTTGAGTTTGGACATTGGTTTGCAATTGTTTGACCTTCTGATTAGTATACGTGGAATGCTGGATGATCTACCTATCAATCTGACCCGACAGTCCTGAAAGTCAGCGGCGGAAATAGTGTGCTGACTGGGTTCACCGTCACTTCCATTTCAATTTTATCGCACTTCTTTTACAGGTGGCTTTGAATAAGCCCGTGAGACAGATTCTTCCTCGAGATTGATTCCCTTCTACCCTACTATGCCACTCTCTAAAAGCAATATAAAAATTGACCTTTTCCAAATCAGTATAAGATATGGTGATTATCAAAGTAAACTTCCAATCAAGTCATTGTATATAAGAAATAAAATTTCAATCCAACAAGAATTTTGAGATTTTTTAACTTGAAAAAAGAAAAAAAGAAAAAAAACATTGAAAAAGTTGTTGTGCAACATTAATCCATGTTTCGGATCTAAGATCTTGACGTGTAATCTAAGCATCCATGGTCGAGTTTGGATAATGTTGCCACGTTATCATGCTCATCCCTCTAATATATAAGGCAATGCGTTACGTGCTTTTACCTGTATCCCATTTGGTCTTCTAATATTACACTCTTAAAGTCTCAGGTTACCTGCGTTATTTTTGGTTTGAATCAAATCTTCCTTTGGAAGAGAAGAGATGTTAGCTATATTCAACAAAGGATTAGTGAATCCACCGGAGGAGCTGCACAGTCCAGCTTCTCTCAGTTCATCTAGGAAGCCTAAGCTTCCGATGGAAATCCTCAAGGATTTTCTCTCTTCAAATCCCCCCAATGCTTTGTCAATTGGCTTTTCAGCTGGAGCTTCCTTAGCTTATATTCCACCACAGAATCCTTGTACCACTTATCAAAGGTATAACTCTCTCTCCTCTCTTGGTGTTTAAATTTACCCAAAAAAAACCCCCCTTGTTTGGTTAATGTTTCAGATTTATAAGTTTTGGATGAAAATGCAGGTTGTTTTGTGGAGTGGATGAAATATACTGCATTTTTTTGGGGAGTTTGAACAATCTATGCAGCCTTCTCAGGCAGTATGGTCTGTCAAAAGGCACCAATGAAGCAATGTTTATCATTGAGGCATACCGGACCCTCAGGGACCGTGGTCCATACCCGGCCCATCAGGTCCTCAATGAACTTGAAGGCAGCTATGGCTTTGTGGTCTATGATGGCAAGGCTGAAAGTGTATTCGCTGCATTGGTAAGATCCTCATCAAAGAACAAGATAAAAAACCATGTTAATTAATAAAGCTTCAAATATTTGGGTTGATTTAACTGTTTATATTCTTACCACTTTTTTGTTTTCTGGTTTGTAGGGTGCAGATGAAGGTGTTAAACTCTTCTGGGGTATTGCAGCTGATGGATCTGTGGTTGTTTCAGACAACTTGAAGGTTATAAAAGAAAGCTGTGCTAAATCATTTGCACCTTTTCCAGCTGGTATGATGTTCTTCTTTTTGTTCTTTTTCTAAGAACATTTTAAAATTTTCCTTACAGAAACACAAGTTTATTACGTTAATTTTTTTTTTTTTGGGTGAATGAAGGTTGTATGTTTCACAGCGAGCAAGGATTGATGAGTTTTGAGCATCCAAGGAGCAAAATGAAGGCAATGCCAAGAATTGATAGCGAAGGAGTGATGTGCGGTGCCAACTTCAAGGCCGATGTTCAGTCAAGAATGAGCAGCATGCCGCGAGTAGGCAGCGAAGCCAATTGGGCACTGCGAGGCTCGAAAGCTTGAATGATAGATAATTCACTGACAAGATTGGGATTATATGACCCGCAATTTATGCCATCTGATTTTTGAATGATTTTGTGTTTTCTTTCGCTTTATTCCTCCCTGTTTATGAATTTTCGTAGGTCAGTTGAGCTGACTTCGGAACTGTGAAAATGTTGTAAACATGAAATGGCTTGTTTGATAAATAACTGCAAAAGATAATCTCCTTCATTTGGCAGATTTGCATTGTAGGTTTCCCCAACTAAGCTCTGAAATCAAAACAAGCATACGAGGATGTCAAGCAAATTTGTTTTTAAAAGCATCAACACTTGTTTCTTACAGGTTACTTTATAATGACTGAGGACATAACCTAGCTGGTCAAAATAAAGGTATTGCCAATTCCAATTTCTAAATGTTTAGAAAAATTATAGAAAGAATCCTAGAAACACCCTTTTTTTATCCAAGCACGAAACTAAACAAATACACCCGTGTTGTGTAGACTAACATAAAGCTTTCTGATATCCTAATACTTGATGACAACGTAAAAACATGGAAGACTCTATCATCTAACAGATGGCGCAGCTGCGTATTTGATCCTCGGAAAGGGATCGAAACAGACATATTTGGAGCCATCTGCCTTTTCATACAGGGAATGCAAGTCATGAAAAATATGGCAAAAAGACGCCCTTGCAATTGATTATAGGCAATGGTAGCATCGAACTAGCTTGCTGCTACATCGCTGCTCAATCTAATTAATGCCAATGACCCTTACACGTTAAAGCATCTTTTGCCAAGTTGAGAGATGATTCAAACTTCAGCAAGCCTAACCAATCAGAACTATTTGATAAATCAATCTTAATCCACAAAGATCTGCAATGCCATCAAAAAAGATATATTAGAACTGAACCGGTAATATGCATCTGAGAACTGATACTACCAATTTGAGATGACAATAAAACAGATTAGTCTGTTTGTTAAAACCTGCAATATGATACCAACCTCCACATCTGGCAATGGATCAAAAGTTTTCTTCTCACTTGTGTCAGACACTGTAATTCCACTAATTCTCTGGACTCCAAGTTTAGTTGCAATTAGGCTCTGCACATGCAAAGTAGAAACCATAAATTACAAATGGAGCAAAAACATAAATAGAAACACAGCTTATGTACAAGTAGTTGCAGATGAAGTAGCAGCACAATTTTTCTACCAAAAAAAAAAAAAGTAGCAGCGCAATTGCTAGACACTAGTTCAACTGTCTTCAGCAATTATATAAGGGAGAAGAAGTAGAATAAACAATGATCAAATAACGCAATATCTTCCATTTGATAGCAAATGATTGCATGTTGAAGTACAGGCTGAAGCCATAACTAATACAACCAGATTGAATATTTTCTTCATACCAGATGGAAATCAGTGGAACCAAATGCCTCCACCTGCGGTAATGCCTGTACACACAAGTGTAAAATCCGTATATAAGTATTGCAGTAAATCACAAATTTTATATGTTATATAAAAAAGAAAACGCATTTTTACAAATGTTTATATAGGTTATTGAGGCATTGATAATCTTATTAGAGGACAAACCAAAGCGATTCATCTGAGTCATGCTTGAGGTTCAACATTGCACAAGCCAGGCAACTGCCTCATAAATGTTCAAAGTACCTCAAGGCAACAAAAAGAAAAAGATACAAAAAATAACTTACAACCGTAATATCTAAGAAAAGAACCACTATCCCATTATTTTGAGGGCTGATTGGCCAGGTTTAAGTGATCCTCAGTTGTCATGACCAAATTACATTGACAGAAATTTCCAATACACCTTTTGATACATATATCTCATGCAGACGTACCAGATTACTTTGGATGCCACCAACCACATCTCCCACTTCATCAAGAAGATCTAAGAATGCAAGGTTCAAAAGAATTCCTACCACATAATTCATATATACATGTTATGTGGTGTGACATATCACTTTAGGTACCACCTACCACAAATCTCTCTTCAACAAGAAGTTCTAAGAATACAAGTTTCAAGACCAAAACTCATTTATCACCCTCTACCTCTCCCTATAGAGGAAAGCTTTAGGTATATATACTGCCAGAAAATGTTAAAATAGTTTAGGACAAAATAAGCTAAAAAACAATGTTGGAAGTCAATTAAAACAATTACCATAGTCTGAAGACCATTAATCATAACAATCTTCTCCTCATGTGCAACATTTTGTGATAACCTAACCTCAAATGGGCCCAACTCTCTATCAGTATGGTTTGTGAGATTCAGATGTACCTGCAAAGCAGTGACAAAGTCATTTAAAAGTCAATTAAAAATTCCTTCAAGATGAACCTAAAGACTAAGCAGCAAAGGGAGAAACTTTAAGCAGCAAAAATTTGATATCAGTGACCTTAAGTTTTGCCATTAGGAGAAAAGAATTTATTAAAAAGGCTTTGCCAGGATGCACAAAAATGCATCAAATAGTAAAAGATACCGAAAAGGGCCTATCCAAATTGATTAGAGATGGAATCTCCAGAATTTGCAACTCAATCTCTTTGCAGCTGATGGGCTGAAAAAGAGGAAAAACATATCAGAATGAGTGTGATAATTTTTTTATTGAAATTTATTCAGATCTCAAACTCACAAAATAAACAGAATATAGAAAATTCAATGGTGTTTTTCCTTTTCCTTTTAAAAAAAGAAATTATTTGTTTCAGTATAATACATATTTCACAATAGAGAATATGAAACTGGGTCTTCTAAAATTGTAAGAATGCTTAACTTACAGTGCCAAGAATTTGCTGTGTTTGCAAGCGGCCAGGTTCACCCAAATTTGTGCGCCATGTTATCTGAAGTTTGCCAAGAATATTAGTCCCCTCTACCTTCACTTGTTCAGAACCAGGTGAAGACAATTTCAATTGATAAAGGTAATTGCGAATTCCCCCGCCAGATCTGATAAGAATAGGTGGCTTAAATATCTCTCTGCCATTAAATGATCGTTAAAAAAGAAGAAAAGATTATATTAGTTTTAGTTAAAAAAATCAAAGAGAAAAATAATTAGAACTTCAAAGCATTGCACGGACAAGCTGCTAACAATAAAATAATCAAAATGATACATCCATATGATATCCGCTACTTACCCAATTGACGAATTATCTACAGGATGGAGATCATCAGCTTTTAGTATTATAGCACTCCAATGAGGAGCAGGTTCGAATTCAACTTGGTCCATATAAAGGTTTGATTTTGTATGATTCTCTATGCAAGCCTCTAAATAGGTAGCTTCCTGAGATAGAAAAATTCAGCTATTATAGAAGAACGAAAACCTAAGTTGACTCACAACTTTTATGACCAATGATGCAGACTTAAACAGATGGTAAGACAATGACGCTAGTAATGGCTGCACTTGTCATAGATCAACAACTAAACCAAATGAGGCGCTCCAATCATTAGATGGTAGCTTTATATTGCAGAAACTGACTTGCAACAGAAGGAAACACACATATCTGCACACTTACCTTGCTTTTAACGCTACAAATGAGAAACAACAAAAAGAAAGAAGACCAGAAGAAAACTCGGAAGTAGGGTACATAATGGCGGGTAGCCCTTGCCCTCCCCTTGCACAATGCTCAGTGAAGGAGGGATAAAATACTGAGGCTGTGAAAGATAACTTTTAGCTTTAGGAATTGACTTGATACCAACTTCACTTATAAAACCACACTGCGAATGTTAATATGCCAAGCCATTTTAACCTTTTTATTCCTATAGTTTGCATTACAAAAAAAGAATATAATTATAGCAGCATGAATATCAAGGCTTTATAAACTTACATCAGAGAATTCAAGTCAATCTCAACCTACCTTGACAGTGCGGACCTGCACAATGGAGACAATAAACATTACAATTTTGAATGGAAATTTAAAATAAAGGCAATGTAAGATAGACTTTCAAAGAACAAAGTAGAAGCAACAAACACCTTTGGAGATAGTCAGGGGCAGCATGTAAATTAGATTTATTCTATTTCTTTCTTAAGGCACGGAATGGTACCTTGGTCCTAACTGATAATGGATTTGCAACAGCGAACTTGAAAAACTGTGGAAGATATTTTCGTTCGCCATCACCATCATTGTACAATGCAGTGCAAACCAGCCTAAAGTTTTTCATGCAACAAATCAAGATCAAGTTAGGGAAAATAATTAGTGAAAGAAATTACAGGAGACAGCAAATCAGTCTGGTGCCACATACGTATGAGCTCCAAGTTCCTTGACATCATGCTCCACAATGAAATCGTAACGCCCGCCTGCGCGTATTGATTCAACAGGTGATTTTGATGTATCCAAGAGGAGGATCCTCTGCCTCTCCGTTTGAATTTCTGCCTGTAATAAATTGAAGACTTCTTGACCTTTTGCATCAAATTAAAATACGAGTTTTGAGAGTAAATGCGTGCATGGATTTGCAAGCAAAACCTCAAAACAAGCTTTAAAAGAAGCACATGATCTGGCACTTATCGATTTTTAATGCTAGTAACACAAAAGCTTAATCAAATTCAATTAAAGAGGGGGAAACAACAGGTCCTACAAAACTACAAAAGAAAATGTCAATTAATATTCAAATTTTCTTTGGTTTCATACACTTTATCAATGTAATAGGTAAACAGTTGCTATAAAACAAATAATTGCGCCAAATCCATCAAAAAGCAACAAATTAAGAGGCAAGTTCATCAAAAAGCAACAAATTAAACAGACTGACCTTAATAACAACGTCCCTAACTTCAAAATTAGAGCTGTTATTAATGCTAATATAGCTGCAGAATGTCTCTCCCAAATAAATCGCCCTATATTAATGTAACCGTAAAAAAAATCAGATCAAATGAAATTAAAAAACGATTATTTAAAAAAAAAAAAAGATAAGAGCGAGGGATGCAGTGAGACCCGAAGGATTGGGGGAGGACGAGGAGACCAGAGAAGCCCATGGAATCGGAGGGCTGGTGAAGGAGAAATCTGTTCGCGTAGGTCAGATCGGAGGAGTCCGTGGCCTCACTGATGTGGCTGGATAAGAGTTGAGGGAGATTAGAGGCGGCAAGTGGATCGTCGAAGAAGTCCTCACCGACGAAGAGGTCGGCGGGGTCGAGGCGGAAAGGAGGCTCGACGTGGAACGATGGCTTGCAAAGCCGCATCACCCTGAATGCCAGGGAGTGCGTTCCTTGTTGCGTCGTGCTCATGGCTTAACGGTTTCAGAATTTCGAACCTTGTTACTGTTCTTTTTTGCTAAATTGAGGCTTGAAAGACTGTCAGTGAGATGGAAAGAAACGAGGTCATGAAATGAGATCGGAGCTCTCGGGGTTTCTCAAGTTTTCCTAGGACTCGGGAGCAGGGCGCTGTGAAATCAATTTTGGGTGTTTGGGACGTCGTCGTTTTGATCTTCAACTGATGTTCACGTGGTGCTTCCGTTAGCATATTAGTGTAGCCGGAATTTGGAGTTGAATAATCGTTTACGCATTTAATATTTTTTCCGGCAAAACAAATATCAAAACATATCAAAATTATATTATATGTCAAAGAAACATCAATCTCATTGGATTTTATAAACGGCTTTTATATGATACTTCAATCGCTGAAATTTGAATATTTCTTTGGGCATTGATAATTCAACAGTAATAAAGTTAATTTATCTCAGCCAAGAATCAAGAATCATAAAGCTAGCTAAATATGTAATAATAAAAAAAGAGGCTAAAATTTAATCTCAAGAGTACGATAAAGAAGAAAAAAGTTTTAAAGGCAGCGTACCCATTTATCTTTATCGAAAAAGAGACCCAAGGCCGAGACCCTAAATTTTTTAGGAGTGTGTCAGCGCCCAACCGGAGTCCAGCCCACTTTAGCAAGCACTCATTCGCTAACCAAACGGAGATGAGAGATCTCTGTCTTCATCTTTCCACCTGATGATGGGCCTCCACTATTTTGATTCTTCTCCTCCCACCCCAAATTCACATCTCCACTCTCCTAATTTCCCAAAAACGAAAAAAGTCCTCTACTACCCCAATCGGCCAATCCCAAGCAACCCAACCCAAAATTTTGACAAAAAAATCACTTTATAAAAAAATTTTACAAATCACTTTCCTTTATTTTCTTTCCCTTCCATTCAATCCAAACATAGAGTTAGTAAAACCAGCTTTTTCTAGCATACTGGAACATTTATTAGAAAAAGTAAAACAAGAAAAGTTAGCACAGCTATTGTGTGAGAACACATTAGGTGCTTGTTGGTTGCCCTACACTTTGATATTCTAATTATTGAGAGTTCCAAATTCCTTTTCATTAACAATTCTAATAACTGTTCTCTTTCTGAATTCTGCACAGAATATGCCTCCGCCTAGGGGTGCAGATGTTGCTGGTCTGTTACTGCGTGCGTTAGAATTGCATCCCCCATTTGAAGAGTGGCACAGGCGGAATATGTTTGGTGGTCCATGGTCTGATCCAGAAGGATATGGGCCGAATAGATGATACTCCTAGGCTAAGTAATTCCATTGAATTACTTAATATGAGCTCCTTGGAAGATTCTAATGCCCATTATGGAGCCCAAACGCTCTGTCCAAGGTAGCGCCAGCTGTCTGAAAGAGATGCAGCATCTGGCTTAAACACTTCTGTTGGCCTGGGTGCATATCTTGGTATAATGGGATCTCGACGAGGTGTTGTGACAGCTGTGTGGAAGACTGGTCTTGCAGATGTTTGGTACAAGGATTGAGATTAAGCCTCATTAAACATTTATTCTTTCTTCTCGTTATTTGGATCTTGAACTTCTGTGTTTGTCTATGTTGGTATTACTTGCTTTAGGGTTACCTCATGAAACTCTTTCAATTCCCATCTTGTGGACTGGAGAGGTTTCTTATTTGTGCCTTACTGATAAAAGGGCATTCAATATATAGGATGGTACCTGCTGATACTAAATATTGCCACCTATTAAGTTTACAAGAAATTTCCTGTATCAATATTAAAAGATAGTGAGACTGGGGTCTTTGGTTGAGCTTGCCTTGGTGCACAATTTTAAGACACTTGTTTCATTTGTTATGCTCTTCTGATCTGCCATATTTTATGTAAAACATCAAATATGCTTTTCGACAAAGATGTCATGTGAAACACACACGTTGATAGATGTTAATTGATTGCTATGATCTTTGTTAGCTGTGACGTAAGTCTTAGGGCACAAGTGTTTCATTTTGATATATGCTTTTTCTGGTTTGTTCGGAACCTATCTTTATCTTTGTCTCTTCTCAGATGAACTTCCTTTTGGTAATCTTTTTGTTTATTTCGGCTGCTTTTGATGCAGTGCGTAAGATGTTTGCAGCAGACTTTAGCTTTTGCTTCACCTGGCTCAATGAATCCGGCTAGTCAAAATGAAGGGGAGACTTGGTGGATCAGCCGTTGGACCTTTGGATGTCCAATGTGTGGTGGAACTTGGGTTCGAGTTATGTAGATGATGCCTTTGACGGTTTGTTTGTTTGTTAGCTGGTCTCATTTTGATTCCTCTTTTACGTTGTGACCTGAGACGGATCTACAACGGTGGCTTTTGCCCCCCACTGAAATGTCTAGAAGTTGCGGTTGAACTTGCCTTTCTCCTGTTGTTGGGTACGTATGAAACACATCATTAAACATGATGGATGGAATTTTTATGGCATTTGTATCCTTTCCAATGTTGGTTGAAAGGAAATGTCAATTTGGATTCTAGTGGATCATTCTTATGAGTATGGAAAAAAAAAAAGGTGCAATGGACTAGCATTAATTTCTTTTTTATCCTTGACTAAAAGGAAATTAATGTCTACTTGGAGAAAACACTGCGAATGGGCTTCGTCAGTACAATTCAGGATCATCTGTGTTTTTATATGTTTCATCTTTTGTTACCATTTCACTTGAAAACGGTGAAAACAAAAAATTTTTTTTTTTAGTTTTTAAAATAAGATATATTTTAATTTAGAGTAAAATGCATCTAGGTATCGTAACGGTTTTGAGACCGTCAGACGTAAATGAAAGTTTTAAAATAGAGAAAAATAAAAGGGGAGTCGTTACCAATTTTTGTTAGAGTATGATTGACCACTCAAAAGTTTATCTTTTTAATAAAACTATAAAATCGGGTTTAAAGTTTATCAAAAAGATAAATTTCGATCTACGAAAAATCAAGTTGAGTCCGAGAGTCGGTTACATGTAAGGAAGGATTAGTAACCCCACAACGTCCATAAATTGATACCATTTAATTATGCGTTATTTTCGATGTTGGATAAAAATGATTTAATTTAAAATTTAACACTAATTTCTTTCATTTGAAAAAATAAAATTTTGCTAAAATTTTTATTTAGAAATATTAAGAAAATCTTTAAGTTAAAGAATTATCTTAAAATTCTCCAACATCTAGGTAGAACTTAAAATAACTCTTTTCATTTAAGATTTAACATAATAATCCTTAAAATGAAATAACAATCCTTATAGAAAATAATTGTTAGTGACTCTCAAACATCTAGACAGAGTACCAAGAATTATTTCTTTTGGAATGTTATTTTTATTTTATTTTATAATATCAAAAAAATTTTTTTTTAAAAAGTATTATTCTTTTTTTATTATAAAATATTTTATCACTAAGTAATAAATAAAAATTAAAGACAGAATAGTGTAAGTAATTACTAATAATAACATGCTAACGTAAGAATGCCAATGAAAGTTATGTAGGATGAGATGCAATTTTAAAGTTGGATTCTTAAATATAATGAGACCACCACGATTCTCCAACATCTAGGCAGAACTTAGGTACGATTGTTTATATTTAAGATCTCAATTTATTATCATACTTTTTATTTATTAATCTTATTATTAAAGTGAATTAAAAAATCATGTAAAAAGACTTCACGAAGTAAAATTTCCTAAATACCCCATCATCTAGGCGACATTCGGGAATAAATTGCTTCAAATGAAATTTTCACACGTGTCTTTAGGATTTTTAGGATTTTGGATTTTAGGGGGGTTTTAGAAACCTAGGATTTTGAAAATTAAAAAAATAGTGTTTAAGGTTTCGTTTTTAAAAAAATACGAACATCTCTAAAAATCCCTGACCTCTAGGTGGATTTTCGAAACAAGTTCGATTTTAGTGATTTTTTAAAATTAATCAATAATTTCTCATATATTTATTTTTTATGAAAATTTATTAATAATAATTCTCCAACATCTAGGCGAAATTATTTTTTTAGAAAAATATTTTTTATTCCCTCCAACATCTAGGCAGAAAAAATAATAATAATAAATATTTTTTTGAATCATTTTTAATATATATTTTTAATCGTTTTCATTTTTATTACTATTAAAACAATGAGACATTTATTCTAACAAATTTAGAAATTTATCATGCAAGAATAAATAAAACAAACTAAAAATAAAAAAATAATATAAAAAAATTTTAAAAATTAAAAAAAAATTTAAACGACCGATTCAGCTGGACCGAAAAGGGGTTGGTTTGACGTGCGGTTCGATTGAGTCGGTTGAGAAACGATTTGGACCGGTTCGACCAGTTCACTGGCGATTCGTCTGAACCAGCTGGAGGTTGGCTGAGACGGGTCGATGGGTCGATTTGCACGGATCTCGAGTCGAGTTCGATCCACGCGCGGATCCTCTTACGCTTGAAACGGCATCGTTTTGGCCCTATGCTCAAAACGACGTCGTTTTGCTTTTATATTTTCTATAAAAGTCAAGTTTTTTTTTTCACTCATTTCACCATTTCCACCAAAAAAAAATTTTCTCAAAGCTTTGGGTCTCTCTGGCCCTGCCGAAATTCGATCGTCGGACTGCTGTGTCGACCGTAAACTCGACCACCGCCAGTGGTGGTCGCTGGTGATCAAAAATTTTGAATTCTTCCTGGAAGCCCCTTTCGACGTGATCTTTCCAGATCCAGTCTTCTTTTCATCGAAAACAGCCCCGATCGATATAGATCGGGGTTCAAAGTTTTTTGTTCTTTTTAAAAAAAAAAAACTCAAACTAATAACCTTTCTTTTTTTGTTACAGGTATCTCCTTGGCGCTGGGTTCCTCGTCGATTCGGCGAGGACTGTGATTTCTATTTTATGATTTTTTTGTGTTGATTTTCGTAGATATGTTTAGGTATTTATGAGGTTGTTCGCGTTTTTTCTTTTTTGTGTTTGAGAAGTTTTTTGATAGGGGTGGAATGTGCGTATTTTTGGTGTTCAGTGAGGGATGTCTGAGAGTTCTAGCTTTCAGAAAGAGGGGTCCAAGAGAGAGGTTGAAGGGGAAAAAGCTATGGGTTTTAAGAACTTTAAATAGGGGGATAAATGGTGGTCGTAGGCGTGGTAGGGTGGCTGTCTAGTTTGGTGGGTGGACAGGGGGCTGGTCAGGAAGCTGGTCGGGGGCTGTAGGGTGGCTAGTCGGGGGCGACAGTAGCCCCAGTCACCATACTTTCTATTTTTCTATTTTTTTTTATTTTTTATATAATTAATAATTATTTTTTTAAAAAAATTATTATTATTATTAAAATTATTAATATTATACTGAAATGAAAACAGTAAACCCGAACAAAATCGGTGTCTACAGCTGCCCCTCTTTGCACATTACTGAGAATCAAGAATATGACAAAGACAAAGACAAAGACAACGATTTTGTCCGAAAGCAAATCGTGATTTTTTTTAAAAAAAAAATATAAAACGATTGGAATGACACCGTAAGTCAAAAAATAATGAATCGATTGAGATAACATCGTGAATCGAATTTATGCTCGAAGGTCTTAGAAATCATGTT